ATTAAATTGCTTTTAAATTGAGTCGTAATCAAGGATGCAGAATTTGGGGAAGGGGTTCATTTGCCCAATTTAGTCTTCCATTTCCTTTCAAAACACATCAAATTATTTTTTCTATTGCTTTTCTCTTTCCTGTGTCAAGAAAATAATAGCCAAAATGCCTCAGAAAATTAGAATTACAGAGGTTTGAGAGGAAAAGCCTTTGAGTTATGGAAGTTTTTATAGACATTGTTTCTAAGGGAATTCAGACCAGGGCTTGAGAACAATTTGACTTAGCAAGGGTTTTGAGTTATCAAGGTTCAACTGAATTCAACCAAGATACACAAACCTACAGGATGATGCATTCCTCATAGCATTTCATCTTAAATATATTGCACTTGTGATAATATACACCAGTGTTCCCCAACCTGTGGTCTGCAGACTGGTTCTGGTGGCCTGCAGAAGTTTTCTGCCGGTCTGCAGGAAAATTTCTTCCCCATGATACAGTACATTTACAGAAGGTAGTAATCAAGCCTATTATTGTTAATTATCTGACATTTTGGGGGAAATGGCAGTTGAAATAACCTGAGAAAAAAATAAGGTGACTTTTCTACTTATTCACCCTTGGACAGCGGCAGCCTCCTTTCCATCCCAGGGCAAAGTCAGACTTTTTCCCCTTGGACCTGCATAACAATTTTGCACAAGTTTATGCAACCCCTGTCATAGGTGGGGAAGGGCAAAGTTGGATTTTATCCAGGGATAAAGAAATGCTGGGGAAGTCCTAAGTTGGACTTTTTCCATATTGACCTCAAACCTGGGCTCCCGGCTTTCAAGCTTAAATTTAATCTTTGAATGGGGGAACAACACAAGGCCAGGGGGAAAAAAGGGAGCCTTGAAGATTTCATTTTTTCATTTCCAAGTGAAATTTTTCTGTTGGAAATTTTTAAAAATGCCAGGATTTTTCCCAACTTTGCCCTAAACACACTGTCATGTTTTTTTCTAATGCCATTCTCGAGTGCACCCAAAATCTGTGAAAAAAAGTCTGACTTTGCCACACAGAAGGGTTAAACTATAGCTTTGGACATCTGTCCAGCACCTGTCTGAAATTGATTATTTTTAGGTTTAAATCTGGGAAACCTTATTTCTTTAAGCCCAGCTTTTGATTTTTTTTCAAGACATTCCAATATACAGCATAGCTGCTCATTGGCTCTTTACTCAATTTTTGCAATACAAAATTTTTTTGAGGACTTTATTGTAGGTATTGGAAAAATTTCCCTGCTGGTCTTCAAAAATTGTATGGAACTTCGCTGTTCTGCAGAAAATGTTATGACAATTTGCTGGTCTGCAAAATATTTTATTAAAATTTGCCACTCCGCAAGCAAAAAAGGTTGATACATACACCATCCTGATTTTGCTTTCGCAATTACAAAGGACTGAAGGAGATGCCGATTTGCATCCGAACTATTAAAACCCCTCGGTCCCAAATGCAAATGCGTCCAACTGTTATTCGCGGAAATGAGCGGGTTGCCGATGCTGAGCAGTACCCCCGGCACCAGCATAACAGCAGCACAGACGATATATTGCCCGCGGGGGCAATCCGCATCTCGTCGGGCATCCATCCTGGTTTAATTGCGTCCGCGGCCTCGTGTCACAAAATAAGTCGAATAAAAATGAAAACAAGAGAGAAACGAATAAAGAAAAAATATATATAAGAGAACCAGCTGAAGAAGGAAGTGAGTATATAGAGGGCGGGAGGGGGTAAAAAAAATAAAAATAAAAAGAAGAATAAAAAAACCATGGCCCTGGCGTTTCTACTTCCTAGCTCCACTTGGGCCTCGGTCGTTCGTCATGGCTTTTTGCGCATGACCGCCCCACAGCCGAGTCGGGGCCCGGGTCTGCGACTTTTTTGGGCCTGGGTCTGCAACATAGGAGAGAGAGTCTCTCTCTCTCTCCCTCTCTCTGCTGATGCCCCTCAACCGCTCCCCTCGTCTTTTACATCTATATATGGCATCTATACCTTTTTTTTCTACCTCCCCCCCCCCTCCCTTTTCTCATCTCGTCTCTGGTCCACTATTATTTATATGAGCCGAGAAAACTGATGACCATGGGGTACCGACTATAGTTTTCGCACTGTACTGCACGTACCCACACCTCAAACGTATGTGTACACGGGGGTTGTCCCGCTTGGGCGCGACCTTGGTTACTTCTATAGTATAGGTATGACTCCAAACCTATCATATAAGATAGATAGCAACCCACTTATCATATAAGGTGATATAAGATCATATAAAAACGTATCATATAAGATGCTATAAAATCATATAAAAATTTATTTTATAAGATGCTATATAAGATCATATAAAAATTTATTTTATAAGATGCTATAAGATCATATAAAAACTTATAATATAAGATATCAACCCACTTATCATATAAGATATCAACCCACTTATCATATAAACTTATCATATAAGATGATATAAGATCATATTAAAGCGTATCACATAAGATGATATAAGATCATATAAAAACTTATCATATAAGATAGCAGCCCAAGCTGTTAAAAGTTTCTCAAATTTCTTTAGGGCTTCAAAAGCAATTTTTTATTTACTGTATGATGATGAGTTTAAACTGTCTGTATAGTTATATGGCTAGAGTTGTTTGGCCATGTCACAGCTAGGGTGCTAAAGGTTGTCTGGCCAGCTAAAATTTTAAATTTTTGTTGTTTCAACCAATTACTGCATGTGAAATGTATAAAAGATAATGGTTAAAATAACAAAATTTCAAATTTCTATCATTTGATTCAAATAAGTTTTCTCTTATACTTGGTTATATTATTCTGCGCTTGATTAGGCATGATTTGCGGGACTTATAATCACAAAGTAAGAGAATAATAAGACATTTTTAGAGCATTTTGTTCTTATCGAAACCTGTAATGCATCAATAAGTGGCTGAAACCTTTATGGAGCTATGTACTTGGGTGACGGTTAATGTTGAGCACTATAAAGTAAATTTTGGGGAAAATGCTTCAATTTTTTTCAAAAGACTTTGAAATTTCATTCGACGAACCTCACACTTTATCTAATTGAAATTTTAAAATAACAAGCATTGATTCAGAGAACTGATGGGAAGCGCATTTAAAATATAAAAAAAATTTACGAATAATTTTTTTCCTGAAAAATCTGGGTGCGCATCATTGTTGAGGAATGTATTGAGAAGAAAGTCAATCAGCAATTTTTAAATGAATAAGTTGTTAAACTAAGGAAATAGGGCTAGAAAAAGAAAGGAAGAAATTTTCAATGCATGCTTCTTTGTCCAAAGAAATAAAAAATTCAACATAGCATTGTAAATGCAACCAAAAACAGCGTTTACAAGTTGAAACTTGGTAGAACACGAAAATTAATTTGGATTTTGAAAAAACCACGCGTTTATCACCTTCATTAACTTTACAACATAGAATGTTTCTTAACATTAATTCTATATTTTCACTGTATCGGGAAGAATATTTTCCCAAAGAGCAAAATTTGAATTACAAAAATTTGGAATGTAATCGTCAATCGTTCCTCCAGTTCAGCTTTTGTACTTCAGTATGAAAATGAAACTGACACGCATTGTTTGCGTCAATTTGCTATTCCAAATTGAAAAGTCGAATTTCAAGCTTCATTAACACAAGTTTTCATGTGTTGGAATTCGAGGAAAAATAATCAGATTTTGCTTGAGCCTTTTTTTTCTTTTTCCCGCTGCCCCAAGTTTTGAAAATAAATGACTGGACGCCATCTACACTAAACAATTTCAGAATCCTCCGGCATTTTACGAATGCCCCTTTGATGTCATGCGTTACTGCAACAAAGTACAGGTATGCAAATGAGGCGTACGTGTTTCACGGCTGCTGCTGTGAATGCTCTCTTTTTTATATATTACACGCAACTCCCAGAGATTCTTTAAGATACGATCCTAATCTCGGATTACTCCTAAAATAACAACAAAAAAGTCAAGTATTCCTCGTCTCGTTCATTCCATAAGAATGTGTACTTTTGTGAACGTGGGACAATCAGATACTTTCATACATTTTGAGTTCGATCTCGNAATTTTTTTGAGGACTTTATTGTAGGTATTGGAAAAATTTCCCTGCTGGTCTTCAAAAATTGTATGGAACTTCGCTGTTCTGCAGAAAATGTTATGACAATTTGCTGGTCTGCAAAATATTTTATTAAAATTTGCCACTCCGCAAGCAAAAAAGGTTGATACATACACCATCCTGATTTTGCTTTCGCAATTACAAAGGACTGAAGGAGATGCCGATTTGCATCCGAACTATTAAAACCCCTCGGTCCCAAATGCAAATGCGTCCAACTGTTATTCGCGGAAATGAGCGGGTTGCCGATGCTGAGCAGTACCCCCGGCACCAGCATAACAGCAGCACAGACGATATATTGCCCGCGGGGGCAATCCGCATCTCGTCGGGCATCCATCCTGGTTTAATTGCGTCCGCGGCCTCGTGTCACAAAATAAGTTGAATAAAAATGAAAGCAAGAGAGAAGCGAAAGAAGAAGAAAAAATATATAAGAGAACCAGCTGAAGAAGGAAGTGAGTATATAGAGGGCGGGAGGGGGTAAAAAAAATAAAAAAGAAAAAGAAGAAAAAAAAAACCATGGCCCTGGCGTTTGATGAAGGATCGAGGTGAACCCGGAGCCAGCAAGCAGTACCGAAAAACGCGTACTGGCGGGGTGTCGGCTCAGCCCCGGGCCCAGACGCTGAAAAAACCCGGACCCAGACGTTGTATCCTCTCTCTCCCTCTCTCTCTCTCTCTCTCTCTCTCTCTCTTTCTCTGCTGATGCCCCTCAACCGCTCCCCTCGTCTTTTACATCTATATATGGCATCTATACCTTTTTTTTCTACCTCCCCCCCCTCCCTTTTCTCATCTCGTCTCTGGTCCACTATTATTTATATGAGCTGAGAAAACTGATGACCATGGGGTACCGACTATAGTTTTCGCACTGTACTGCACGTACCCACACCTCCTACGTATGTATACACGGGGGTTGTCCCGCTTGGGCGCGACCTTGGTTACTTCTATAGTATAGGTATGACTGCAAACCTATCATATAAGATAGATAGCAACCCACTTATCATATAAGGTGATATAAGATCATATAAAAACGTATCAAATAAGATGCTATAAGATCATATAAAAATTTATTTTATAAGATGCTATAAGATCATATAAAAACTTATCATATAAGATAGCAGCCCAAGCTGTTAAAAGTTTCTCAAATTTCTTTAGGGTTTCAAAAGCAATTTTTTATTTACTGCATGATGATGAGTTTAAACTGTTTGTATAGTTATATGGCTAGAGTTGTTTGGCCATGTCACAGCTGGGTGCTAAAGTTTTGTCTGGTCAGCTAAAAATTTCAATTTTGTTGTTTTAACCAATTATGTGAAATTTATAAAAGATAATGGTTAAAATAACAAAATTTCAAATTCCTATCATTTGATTTTAAGTTGTCTTTTATACTTGGTTATATTATTCTGCGCTTGATTAGGCATGATTTGCGGGAATTATCATCAGAAAGTAAGAGAATAATAAGACATTGTTATAGCATTTTGTTCTTAGTGAAAACTGTAATGCATAAATAAGTGGTTGAAATGTTTATGGAGCTATGTATTGGGTGACGGTTAATGTCACGCACTATAAAGTAAACTTCGGGAAAAATCCTTTAATTTTCTTCAAAAGACTTTGAAATTTCATTCGACGAAACTCACACTTTATCTAATTAAAATTTTAAAATAGCAAGCATTGATTCAGAGAACTGGGGAGCGCATTTAAAACAAAACTATTTTTTTAAGAATATTTTTTTTTCTGAAAAATCTCGGTGCGCATCTTTTTTGAAGAATGTATTGAGAAAAAAGTCAATCAGCAATTTTTAAATGAATAAGTTGTTGAACTAAGGAAATAGGGCTAGAAAAAGAAAGGAAGAAATTTTCAATGCATGCCTCTTTGCCGGAAGAAATTAAAAATTCAACATAGCATTGTAAATGCAACCAAAAACGGCATTTACAAGTTGAAACTTGGTAGAACACGAAAATTAATTTGGATTTTGAAAAAACCACGCGTTTATCACCTTCATTAACTTTACAACATAGAATGTTTCTTAACATTAATCCTATATTTTCACTGTATCGGGAAGAATATTTTCCCAAAGAGCAAAATTTGAATTACAAAAATTTGGAATGTAATCGTCAATCGTTCCTCCAGTTCAGCTTTTTTACTTCAGTATGAAAATGAAATTGACACGGATTGTTTGTGACAATTTGCTATTCCAAATTGAAAAATTGAATTTGAAGCTTTATTAAGACAAGTTTTCATGTGTTGGATTTCGAAGAAAAATAATCAGATTTTGCTTGAGTTTTTTTTTTTGGGCGACGGGGTTCAAAACTTTTATTTACTGACCTGCGGTAGATGTGATTTGTTAAAGTCTTAGGAGGCCGTAAAATGCTTACGGGGAAACTACAGTACGCAATGACGTTGTTTCATGTCCATACGTTATGAGGCGTACGTGTTTCACGGCTGCTGCTGTGAATGCTCTCTTTTTTATATATTACACGCAACTCCCAGAGATTCTTTAAGATACGATCCTAATCTCGGATTACTCCTAAAATAACAACAAAAAAGTCAAGTATTCCTCGTCTCGTTCATTCCATAAGAATGTGATCTCTTTTTTATATATTACACGCAACTCCCAGAGATTCTTTAAGATACGATCCTAATCTCGGATTACTCCTAAAATAACAACAAAAAAGTCAAGTATTCCTCGTCTCGTTCATTCCATAAGAATGTGCACTTTTGTGAACGTGGGACAATCAGATACTTTCATACATTTTGAGTTCGATCTCGGAAGAACCGAAATATGCGCAATTTTCTTTCATTTTTTTTTTTTGCATGCGGAATATCTATTTAGAATTTTGGAGATTTCCTCTTGCATGAAGTAGGATTCATCGGGAGAGAAATCGTATTTAACTCAGTCTCTCTTTTCAGTAAATTTTACTCCAATCAAACAACAATAAATCACGATATCTTGAGAATTAAATGACTAAGAAAAGCTGAATGACGCGGAGTTTCGATAGTTTTTTTTTAAAATAAAAACTTGAAATATTTTCTCGAATAAGAATAAATTCATCGCAAGAAATCACTTTTTTTCGAATCTCTCACTCCATTCAAACTGTAGGCCATCTTCAACGTTTGGGATTTTTCAACTTTGTAAACAAATGCAACAGAAATTTCGCTGAAACCCCTAGAAAAGAAGATTTTAAATCCCCAAAATTTTGGAAGGAACAAAAATCCTTGGTCAAAGAGGAATTTTGCTATTTTTAAAAAGCAATATACAAATTATTTTTTTTAAAGAGAGATTTCGTCTGAAGCAGCAAGTAAAGTTCACTTCCTCAGGTCCAGTTTTGTTTTTACATAAAAAATTTTTTTTAGAATGTCTCACTTCATTCAAACTCAATGTTCGAGGGTTTTTAAACTGTGAAAACACATAAAGCAGAAATTTCAAAAACACCCAAAAAAGAAGATTTTAAATCCCCATACTTTTGTAAGGAATACAATGTGCGGAATTTTTTCTTTTGACACCAGCGGCAGAGTCAAATTCCCTGAGAAGGGACAAATAGATCGAGTTTTCTAAAAATTGGCGCGTCTCGGGACACGCCCTGGGCTGTAAATTAATCCCCTTGGCGGGGAAACAGGCGGGATCAATTAACTCGACAAAGTCGGCGTACCAACAATATCTTAACCCCCACCCAAGAAAAGGAGAACGACCCCCGGAACCAGGACAAACAGTCGTCAAAGATGACGTCTTCTCTTTATCAGCAGGGGGACATCAAATCCCCCCTTCTTTTCCGCGAAAACCGGGGTCATTTAACCCCTCCAAAAACTTACAGAAAAACCCAACCATCTGCTGGAGACGCGTCCCAAAAAACCTCGTATCTTCTTCCCTAAAACGATTTATCTTCAAAGACCAAACCTTTTCCAAACTGTCAAGGATTACTAAAGTACCAGTAAAAGCCAAATTACTTTTACAAGCATGTTTTTCTCTCCATAATATTTTTACAAACCTTCGAAACACCTGGTCTCCAGGAACAACAAATTCAGCCTTGTAAAGTTCAGCAAAAATCATAAAAGCCACCCGGTCTTTTGAGAAAACATTACTAGTTCAAAATCCAAAATGAAAAACACCAGCACCTGGTATTTTTTGTTATCCAACATCTGGGATTCCCTGAAGATATTACCCAACCCTCCCTGTCGTTTTTAGAGCTTAAAAACCCCGAATTCTGGGGCTGACGACACAGTCTGAATTTTGCGTGTGAGGCATTACATTGTGTTCTCGAAATTTGTATTTGCTGAAAAATTTACAAGTCCGCGAAAACTGTTGTGCATATTTTCCTGTCGAAACTGTTGTGCATTTTTATCTTGTAAAACTTACCTGTCGATTGGAACAAAGGCTTGCGCTGTTTGGGAGAGAATCCCTGGTCGGTTTGCGCACCGGCCAATTGTTGTGTTGAATTCATTTATCCTGTTTCTGAAAATTCTCATCTAGATCTTGTCTGAGAACTATTATTCTAAACCTTTTTTCACAAATCAATCAAGCCACATTAAACTTAAACAAGGTGTACGGCTTCAAATATTACTTCTCGATAAAAACCGTACATACAAATCCTTGGTCAAGGCGCAATTTTGATATTGAAAAAAGCAAAATATAAATTATTTTCTCAAAAAAGAGATTGTCTGAAGCAGAAGATAAAGTTTGCTTCCCCGGCTTCGTTTTGTTTTTATATTTAAAAAAATTTTTTTGAATGTCTGACTCCATTCAAACTCAATGTTTGGGTTTTTTTTCAACTTTGAAAACAAATACAGCAGAAATTTTAAAAGCACCCAAAAAAAAAGAATATTTTGAATCCCCAAAATTCCTGGAAAGAATAAATATCCTTGGTTAGTCAGGCGAACTTTTGATATGTTTGAAAAGCGAAATATGAATTATTTTCTTTTAAAAAAGAGAGAGAGAGATTCGTCAGATGCAAATAAAGTTCACTTCGCCAGCTCCATTTTTCTTTGTAAATTTCACTCCATTGAATCGGACCATTTTTTCAAACTTTTGTATTTCTTTGTATAGTTTGACAAAATCAAATGAAACACGAAACTTTTTAAGCACTCCAAAAAAAGCAGGTTTTCAGTCCCGAAATATTGAAAAGGGATAAAAACCTCATTTATGCCGGCGTGACGGAAACTCGGTGCGTGCATATACGATTACGAAGCACTTTTCGGGTACCTTTTCATAAACATTCCCTTTTGAAATTTGTGTAAAGGACTTTTTGTCTAACAGACTTGTCCCTTGCACGAATCAAGTCCGTTAGAAGGGGGTTGACTGTACTTTTACATCCGGTGTCTGCATAAGTCTTGGTGATTTGCAACTATAAACATAATGTCATTATTTCCAAAATTATCTCACCTGGATTCTGAAGCCATTCTCTCAAAGTTTTCTGCAGTCTTCTCACATGCAGGGGTTTGGCTGCCATGCCCACAAGATCCATAATCTCGAGGAATTCCTCTTGTCCAGAGTCGCATAATTGTTGAACATCATCTCCACCTCAAGACAATAACATGCAAACATTCATGTCAAGCGTGAATACAGCAAGCCAAGTAATTTTGCCAGCAGAAAAAATTAATTCGATTCGTATTTCTTGATTCTGTGCTGGGGAAAAAAAACTTGTGGAATCAAGCCAAATTTTTCTCTCGTTTTTTGGCTGAATTTCTCCAGATCCATTGAAAATGTGGCAGTATCATCATTTTGTGAGCTTCCCTCATTGTTTTTTTTTTTTTTTTTTGATTTTCTCTCGTTTTTTGGCTGAATTTCTCCAGATCCATTGAAAATGTGGCAGTATCATCATTTTGTGAGCTTCCCTCATTGTTTTTTTTTTCTTTTTTCGAAGTATCAATCAACATTTTTTGAACATTGCTTTAATTTTTAGTTCACATGAGTTGAAACAATGCAAGAAAACAAAGATCCGAAATGTCTCCAGCAATCATTGTAATATGAGTAATTATAATAACTTTACTCGCAACACTTGGTCAAAGTTTAGGAACAAAAATTTGTACAATTATAGATTTATGCTCCAAATAACATAGGATTCCATTAGCTGCAATATAGCTTTTTTAAATCTGAATGCAACAGCTTCATTAGAAATAAATAAAAAGCAAATGCAAATATATATTCAACTTTATATTGAGTATAAATTAAAAATTCGAGCTATCAAAATTCCTGAGATTAAAAAATTAACTGAAAATTGGAGACACTCTCAAGCAAAAATATGTTTTTGGCAAATTTTCATTTAAAATATAAAGACGGAAATTTTACGCAAGAACACATGGCACTTGAGTAAATGTAGTACAGTGAGACGCCAAGATGTGGACATAATTGGTGCATCAAGAGTGTCCTATAATGTCAGAATGTCCTCAAGTCAAGTCTCATTTTCCCTTATACTTAAATTCTAATGCATTTAATTGGTTCTCCTTTTTGTCAAAAATAGAAATAATTCCTTAAAATATGAAATAATTTTTTTTACCCTCAACTTCAAGTTTTAGAAAGCAGCAGTGCACAACAAAACCGTTTAGTATCTGATCTTTTGGTATCAAAAAGAGATCAAAAAGCAAAGAAAAAGAATAAGTATTGCTAGAATATGGACAGATGATAGAAAATTTCTGAAAAAAGAAGCACAAAATCAGCTTACTTTTGATTATGAATATGAGTATAAATTTATCATGAAATCTTTTTTTCAATTTTGTGAATATAAATAGCTTGATTTCTTCAAAAGATATCAAAATGAAAAAAATAAAATGCCTCATTTTTTGGAGAAAATTTCAGAAAAGTGTCCCTAACTCAAGCCAATGTCCAAATGTCAGGCCTGATTCTTTTCAAGTTTCCCTGAGTTGAATTGTCCGTATGTTGGGGTGTCCGCATATTGGGGTCTCACTGCAATTATTTCAAGCACAACTTAATACAGTATTTCTAATAACACAGTATACCTAATTTTAAAATCTTTGGAGTGACAATGGAACCAGCTCTGACAAGTCTTTTCCAACAAGGAAAACAATTTCTGACCCAGAAGTCCGTTAGCAATCCTTGGCAAAAATATATTGCATTAAAAATAATAAGGAGATGCACAGGTACTAACTTCAAGTCTTTTTTTTTTTTGGTCATTTAAGATTTCAACACCAATAATAGCGTCATTCAGAACGTGAATTATTTACATTGGTATAAGTTTTAGGGGGAATCCATCTGTGAATATCCCCTCATAAATTCCACAAAAATAATTAAAATTTTCAAAAGATTATTCTTATTATACTTCAGCAGTAAGAAAAATTTAATGTACTGCACCTCGCTCCATGTTACAGTTCAAACTCGTGTGTTTGTGTTGGCAGTGGGTTTACTCACAATCAGTTAAATAATATTCATTCAACAGAAGAAAACGTAAATAAAATGACACGATCGTCAGGGGAATTTATTCACTGCACTCGAACCCAAGATTATCAATGATCTAAACTTTAGAATCAACTGACGGCGTGTTTAATTACGCAATAAAAAAATGATGGATAGAAACTCACCTTTGCTAATGAAGGTGTCGTAGTAGGACAACAAATTAGCTCTTTGTAGTACTCTGAACAACTGGAGCTCAGATTCGTTTGATGGATGCGTCGTGAGGGCCACTAAATAACAAAGAAACACCACAAAAAAAAAAAA